GTCAAGGTTGCCAATTGTTGACCATTTTGAACTTTAATCGACGGCCATTTTGAAAAATTAGGGTTTATTTAAAAATCTAACGTCGAATTCGTTCTTCTCGGGTCAAAACATCCCCAGGTACCGAATTTCAGGGGAATCCATTGGCAAAAAATCGAGTTTGTCAAATTTTCGGCCACTTTGAGCCTAAACCGGCGGTCATTTTGAAAAATTAGGGTTTGTTTAAAAATCTAACGGTGAATTCGTTTTTCTCGTGCCAAAATACCGCCAGGTACCGAGTTTCAAGCAAATCCATGTACAAATAGCAGAGGTGCCAATTTTCGGCCATTTTGAACTTTGACCGGCCGCCGTTTTGAAACGGTTTGAGATAATGACTTCCGGTTTGCGCGAAAATTTTTATTTGTTTATGCTCTTTCGAACGAGGTATCACAAAGGGGGTCTTCCCATTTGAAAAAAAAGTTAGGGACCGTAACCCCCCCCCCCCCGGGGCCCCCGAAATTTGGGGGGGGTCAAAAAGTAGCTCCCTTTGATCTTGGAACACCCTCCAAGTTTCAAATCTCTACCTGAATTAGGTCAGAAGTTAGAGGGTGGGGGAGGGGACTTTTCAAACACCCTGTACATATTGGAAAGAGTAAAAGGAGTGAAATTTAAAAAAAAGAGCTTGATGCAAAAACGGCTTTCGAACCCCCTCCCCCTCTAGAATTCCTTCAATTTTCGTCTATCAATTATACTTGAACCCTTCTTTTCCCAAAGGAGGGGTATCGATAAGGGCCTTTTGTGCCCTCCCCCCCCTAGACTATGGAAATTTATGCGGGGTTTCCAAGTTGACTCAATGTATTTTACGGAAATAATCATGATTTAGCCCATAGGCCACTGGATATGTGTTAAATGGTTGCCTAAACATAGGTCTGCAGGCGTATTTTAGCGAAAATTCGTGTTTTTCTATCACTCCGCGGCTTTTTTGACACCGAGCGCATCGTCTAACTAAAACGAGCTTTTGATATGTTATTAAGGAGGCTTTAGGACACATTTTAACCCTGGTTTGGTTTTAGTTAGAGGATGCGCTCATAGTTAAAAAAAACTTTTTCAAAAATTGACTTTTAAGGAACTTCCGCAAAAATCTTAGGAAAACGCGTCTATCGAAGTGTATACACGCTACATATATTATCGAGGGCAGTTATCAAGCCTTGTTAGACTTTTACAAGGAGATTTCCTTCAATTGTGTCCAAAAAAAATTGAATTTTCCATACAAACAGCTGCGAAAATACCGGATTTTAAAGTAGTGGAGGCATATTTTCACTAAACGCATAACGTCAACTTAAATCTGGAAATTTATGCGGGTTTTCCAAGTTGACTCAATGTTTCTTACGGAAATAATCATGATTTAGCCCATAGGCCACTGGATACGTGTTAAACGGTTGCCTAAACATAGGTCTGCAGGCGTATTCTAGCGAAAATTCGTGTTTTTCTATCACTCCGCTGCTTTTTTGACACCGAGCGCATCTTCTAACTAAACAGCGTTGCGAAGTTTGCATATTTAAGCTCTAAAAATTCGCGCATATTTTCAAATATCTTACTTTAAAAAACAACTCCATCGGATATAATATGTTATTTTGTAACATTATACCTACAGTTAGTCTTACCTTTAAATCCATATTCCTATTGATACGCGGTAATACTGCTGATTCTCTTGATACAACGTTGCAAAGTTGACACCAAAGACCTATAAAAATTGCTCATTTTTGTAAATTTCTGAATGAAAAAACGATTTTATTGATCACCAAAAGATCTGTGTATGGTGTTTAGATGTAACTTTATAATATGATAAGTCTTCCGTATAGGCCTTACCGCGAGCGTAAAGTATACAGATGTAATGATACAGTGTCGCTAAGTTTATACATTTGAGCTTTAAAAATGTTTATATTTCTAAGTTCCGCGTTTAAATGCGACTTTCGAGGATCCTCATTAGAATTTGAAGCATGAAATCTACCAAATGTGTCATTTGTAGCTCTTGTATTTAAACAGAGATACTTTGATCGGTGGTGATACAGCGTTCACGATAGGACGTCAATGGGTGTCATTCCTTATATCAATGAAAAATGTCGAGGGCGGATGTGAGTTCCAAGTGACGATTGGTATTCGCAAAAATACTATTGCTAAGTTTATTAATGCTTCTTTCCAAACAATGAATAATAACATTATTTCAAAATAAATATGCCTCCAATAATTGTTACTTTATTTTGTTTTTTTTTTTTTAAAATGTTATTTTACTTTTTAATTTTTATATAATTTGTTAAATTTTTTTTCCATATTTTTAATTTTTTAAAAACAGTGGTGGTACTTCATTTTGCAAGGCATAATAAATGTATTCTCTGGATCAAAATTTATTTATACTTAAAAAAACTCGACAAATTCCGCATTCTATGTTTATTTTTTATTTTACTTAAAAAAGGTCAAATTGGCAACTATGGCGAGGCATAATTCGTTGGATTTTGAAAGCAACGCTGATGCTGAGTATTTCATCGAGCATGGCAAAGACTCTTGAATTTGATTTTGAAATTAGATAATTATTGGAAGTATCCTAATTTTAATAATATTTTATGATTAAATGTTGAGAGAAAAAAAGGAAAAAGAGGCAACAGTGTACTTTTTTACGCCAACTGTCACTTAGCACTAACTAGAGTCCTTGTACTTTGCTTTACAATATCGAAACATGTTTGATCGAAGTTGTCTTTAATAAGAAAACAATTGAGAAAAGACATTTTCAGAGATTTAGGATGTAAACTGTGCAACGCTGCGTTACTTGAAATCATTGTAGCCTTTTATCAGTGCAACTATGCATCCACGAGTACCACTAGGGGTTAATTTTATCCCTTAACATGCAGTTTGATATTCACTAAAATTGGTTATCAAACAAGAAACTTACAAATATGAGCATTTTTAAAGCTCAGAAAGGTAAACTTACAACGTTGCACTACCAAAACAGGGGTCATGCATGAGCTAAAACTTTTAATGGAGGCTTTTTTTATTATTATGCTTCATTTCAGCTTTGTTTTAGATTGTAAAGTTCACTCTGGTGTTGGTTTTAGGAAGATAATATTTGAAAATATGAAGATTTTTAAAGCTTAAATATGCAAACTTTGCAACGCTGTATCTCTGAAACCAAACGTATACTCAAGATAAAATTTCTACTGGAGTCTTAGGTCATCATAAGGTTTCGTTTAGGCCACATTTGAATGAAACCCCGGAGTTTCAGGCAGGGGCCAAAAAGGGCCCTTTTTTGGGAGGCTCCTTCAATCCTGTTGACATATCATGCAACCTCACTTGGCAGCATCGCAACATTCATTCAGCCAATCATGGCGTCTCTCTAGTTGCCAGCAATAGATCGTATTCGATACATCAAACAGGTGAGATTGTATCGATGTCGATTGGTTCAAAACATAAACATAGGGTCAAAAGTCAATTTAGAAATCGGAGGGAACGGGTCTTTTGTAACAGATGTTTCATTTTTTTGAGTACCAAATGCCAATGCAAAGTGAAATTGTTAGAAATTTTCTCATTTTCAGCTTTTCCAACTTGATAGTTATGTTTGAGGTTATGTTCTATTGTTTTGAACCAACCGATACATCGAACCATTATCGAATACGGTCTATACTTACTGTTTTTTTTTTTTTTTTTTTTTTTTTTTTTTTTTTTTTTTTTTTTTTTTTTTTTTTTTTTTGCCTGTACGTTCATGTAGGATATACAAGTCTAATATAAATGAATACGTTCAAATGCAACCGTTGTAGTTCTCCCTTCATTTTCACTGCCTCTAAAACCTCAATAGGTGACGGGCGCCAGACACGTTATTTTGAAGGACTACGGAGTACATCGGTGTATGTGGGTTTTGTGACGACGCGTTTTTTTTGTCCACCTCCTGCGAGTCGTGGCGGGGCAACGTCGAAAAGTTGCGAGATTCATGCAATGCAATTGCCGTAAGTTGCAACTTTTCTTCCGATCAGATCGCCGAAAATCGGCACTTATCGACCAAAAGTTGACCGAGAGTTGCAGCTTGGTTTCGACTTTTAACCAATATTGTTTCAATTTCTTGCAACTTTTACATTGAAAAATGCTACCTACTTGGGATGTGATCACATGTCATTCTCTTGGGAGCGCATGTGCTCACATGTCATTGCCAGGGGAAATTTTTAGTAGGGTATCTGTTAAATGATATTCAAATAATCACTGATTTCAGAGTCAACTTCTAGCAGCACGACGCGACATGGTGGATTTTTTTTGGAACTGCAGCCGAAGGTTCATTTTAATAGGGAGCGGAGACGGAAAAAGAAATTTCAAAAGACTCGAATAGATTTCACGAAGTTTTGGAATTTATTATTTTTTCTCGGAATTATTTATTGAACCCCCGGAGGTGCGGAAGCCTTCCAGATGGCCTTCCTCTTGATGCGGCAGTATCATGAGACTCTACTGAGGTGCTACACACGGAGGGGGCACAAAGAGGAGTTTACAGAGAAAGCCCCAACCTAACCTCTGAACCAATCGAAAACATTTGCTAGGTGTGAATGTAAAAGGCTTGGGGTGAAAAATGTCAATATCTAGAATCATTATTTTCAGGCGTATTTCTTGGCCTCTTTGATGCATCCCCAAAAGTTGAAAAAAGTTTCATGAAATTTCGTAAAATTTCACGCGAATCAATTTCATGAAATACTCCATATCTGAACAGCGGAAATTCTAGATCCTCTGCCTTACTTTTCTATCGCCTCCGTCCTTAGAAAGCACAACCATACCGACGTCATGGATAGGTAGTTGCAGTTGCCATCCTTGGAAAATAAAGATGAACAATTGAGAAAAACGCGACCGGCAGTGATGTTTTTCTGGTAAATCGCAATGGCCATTTGTTTTCGAAGTTGCATTATGGATAAAAGAATCGGCAACGGTGGCGAATCTTCTGTGTTCATCCATCGGTCAGGCTCCACCTCTTTCCTCAGTCATCATTTCCATTCCAATTAGTCCGCTTCTTCACCTCGCGTAAATTTGTTCAACGGTTTTAAGTCCTCCGTGATCTTATCGCGCCTTTAATGTTTAGTGTGGACTTTTTGTATATCAGCGTTTATTTTTGCTTACATCGGATCTCGCGAGTGCCGCAGCTTTTGTTTCAGGGTTACGACCCCAAATATACGGGATACACACGCAGGACATATTCTGGTAGGTAGGTTATATTCTTCACAGACTTTCTTCAACATGCGTCATGGAGAACCCCCAACGCCGTTATTAAGTATCTAGCACAGACGAAGTATAAATACACTCATTAGTGTTTTATTCAACACAGAGAAGTGTGACTCTATAACTTCAAAAAAATTATATGTCATTGAGAAATAACTCTAAAGTTCCTTTCATAAAATTTTTTCAAATAGGTAGTGATTTGAATGTGTTCTTACCGCCAATTTTCTCTGTCCACTAGCATAGGCAATCCCAGATGCATCCCCATGTTGGAGAACGCTTGCGTTCTACCTCACGATGGGGGTCTGGGATGCTCTTAGCAAGAGAGCGTGCGGGGGTGCTCCCATACGGAAAATTTTTAATTTTTCACCTCTCGAGACTGCAATTTAGTCACGAAAAATCATTTTTATAATCGGCAGCATGACTGTAGTTATGAAGGTGAGGATAAAACAGTGACATTCAGTCTTCAAAATCTGCAGAGATGGCAATTAGGGTGGTTCTTATTTTTCGACTTTTCGAAAATCAAATGTCTGACCCCCAAAAAGTTTTCATTTGGTGTAAAAAGAACCTACAAAAAATCTCAGCCCGATCGGATCATCCTAAGTGGTGCCACCGGGGCCGACAAGTCTCCAAGCGGGAACTTCAAATTCCGGACAATTGCGTTTTTTCGTCATTTCGCAATTTTTTTCCCCCCCATTAAAATGTAGCTATGGCTTTGAAACTTTTTGAAGTAACACACTTTTTAAGGTACCTACTTTATGAAAACAGTAACACAATTTACCTCACCACTTTAAAAATGCACACTCCCTCCCCTCAAAGTGGTCACATCGTGCGATTTCGCCGATTTTTCCCAACATTCTCCCCGCACGGTTTGCCTGAACGAATTTAAATTTGTTGACAAATCAAAAGCAATGACGCTTCAGATTCATGAAGTAGAGTGTCTGCCGAGTTATTTAAGCCAAGAAGAAAAACAATCCGTCGAGCTCCTGGAAAATGAAGGCGACTTAGAGGTATTTTATGGCTAAAAGGGGCAATATACCGATGGTAAGTCCCGTTATATTACTGAAAATAAATTTCCTCGATAGTTACAATGCCTAGGTTCCTTGAATATGGTTTTTTTAAGTACTCCAACACTGAAACTAGAGTCCCTTTATACCCAGAGTGAAGACAACTTACTTTTGGTTGGGCTGAAAGTGGCCTAAAAAAAATCCAATTCTGATTGGTTCTCGCTCATGGAGGCCGAAACGAGTGCACCAAGATGGCGGTACCTCGAATGTGAACAAGAATAATGAAAATATTACCTAATTGTGGTTTATCAAGAGTAAATTGTTATTTCCATCGGTCTAAAATGAAAATAGATTAAGAAATTATTCACAAACCAATCTCATTTTCTTTTTAATTGATCATTTTGATGATGTTGTTGTTTTTGTGTGACAGACATCGCAGGATTCCTAATCCTTATCCTTCAATATCGTTCGTTTGGGTGCACTCGTTTCGGCCTCCATGGCCAGCCAAGGCCGGCTGCCAGTCAGCTGATAATCGAGTTGTCTTAATTCTGGGTATAAAGGGACTCTAACTAAAACCACAGATTTTAGCAATATGGTAAATTTTGGAGACCTCGAATTATCTATTGGAATCGAAAATTTCTCAAATTTTCCATGAAGCTCTCCAAAAATGGCCTGCTTTCTGGACCGTCGATTCGGTCATCGAACCGAGTTTGAAATAGAAGCCTATAATTACTTGAAGCGATGAGCGACCTCGCTTTGAGCCTAAGAATGGTTTCCGAGTCTCGGGGGGGGGGGGGAAGCAAATCCGAGCTATTATTCGCCGTTTTCTTGTTGAAGTGATGTTGCCGTGGGCTTCTAGTCGTTGTTCACCCATGTTCAGCCTTTCGATACTGCACAATTTTTCAACGTAAAATTCGATATTCATGTCAAGAATTCGATACATCAATGCGGTTTATCGATTTTTCCCGAGTCGTTGAGTAGTTTTCCGTTTAAAAAAATAAAGTATGACAGAAAGTCTACAACGTCTCAAACCGAGTTATACCTATGTGATTGCCGACTTACACCGTCGATATGCTGTTTGGTCAGAATGGTCCTCAATTTTGCTACATTGCTTGATGAGCTAAGTATTGTAGTTGTTGGACATGCAACACCTGATCATCCGTTTTTTAGGTAGTTTCAAAATGTTAGGCACTTCAGCCACTTGGGGGCATTTAGTTTCAAAATTATGTATAACCGCTTGAGCTATATAACCGCGCTGGATAATATGAGTGATTTGACATGCATCACAGACGTCCTAGTTTATTTTTTACTTTTCAAACATTTGGAGCTCTTATGCCTGTCCTACCCCCAATTAAGGGCAGTTGAGATCAAAATTTTCAGTGACCTTCTAGGCTAAGTTAAGGCTTTAATTTGTTGAATATGTAGACATATCAAACTCATTCTGTAGTAGGTGTAGCTGCGATTTTCCAAACTTTTGAGGCTTTAAGCCTCTCGGGGTAGTCTTTTTCGAAAATCATTTGTAACCTTACTAATGCAACTACGCTCGTTCCTAGTCTGAATGTAGGATGAGCCAAAAGTCGAATTTTATCTCTCAATTTTTCCCCACAAATTGTCCCAAAAAAAATTCCCCCAATTTTTGAGGGGGGAATTTTTTTTCAATTCTCATTGGTCAGAAGATGAAGTTCTTCTCACGGAAGTTTAAGAAAATGTCATTTAAATTTGTATAAAAATGTGTAAGTGGTTACAAATGATGTAACAGTTGGCGGCAAAAAACCCCTTAAACCTCAGAATTGAATAACGGTCAAAACTAATTTTTCTTCTTGATAAATGCTCAGGTAGAACTTTCAGTATTACTACTTACTAAGAATTATGACGTTTCAGGATACTTTTTGGCCAGTTTCAGTAAGATTTAGGATGATACATTTTTTAAAAAAAAAAGTTAAAGCGCAAGGCTGATTACGAAAGCACCAAAAGGTTCCTGTCGAGGTAAAGTATCTTAATATGTGTTATTAAATTCACTGTAGAATGAGGTGAATAACATTTTGACCGAATGAAATGAAATAAAAACTTTTAATAAAGATTTGAGCGGGGCAGGTGGCAGCGTGGCACCTACCCAGTTACCCCACGAAGGGGAAATTTTCAAGGTAACTGGGCATCAACCCTTTACAACCAGTGTTTTCATCAAATAATATTGTAATTGCTCACGCATTACATGGATATGAGTACACTACACATTACACAGAGAAAATTTCAAAGTTGAATAAAATATCTACTTGTAGTGAGATAAGAGGCTCCTTTCGGCGGGACCACCTCCGGCGTTGTCTTGAAAAGAAAAACCGGTCAATTTTTAGCACTTCATCATTCACCGAAATTTTTCTTCTGAGATTATGTATACATGTTTTAGATGGCTTAAATCATAATGAAGATTATATCAGCTGTGAAAAAAGATTTAGTACTAATATGGTAGAAGTACTGAGGCTATGGCCCAGTTACCCTTCCACCCAGTTACCCTAGAGTACCTTTATAGACAGAGTATGGCCATTTCTGTTCCGGTTTTTCATTGGTCGCGTGAAAAAAGGCTGACACGATGTTCTTACGGCCGTAAATAAACAAACAAGATGGCTGTTATCAGCAAGCAAGTTTGAGGTTATGCACATCTTACATCCTCCTGTGATAAAGGTGAAAGGCGATTTAACAATGTTTTCGTGTGCTTTTCGTGTCGCCAGAGATGGAAAATTTCATGAAATTTATTCGAGTGAAATTTCACGCGTGAAATTTCATAAAATTTCATGAAATTTATTGAAACTTTTCGGGATACCTTTAGGAGGCTAAGAAATGCCTAGAAACAGTGATTCTAAATTTTGAAATTTTTCACCCCAAGCCTAAAAAATTCGCGCGTTGCAAATGTTTCCGTTTAGTTTAGAGGTTAAGTTGGGGTTCTTCTCTCTAAACTCCCCTTTTTGCCCCCTCTTTGTGTCTGGCACTTTCAGTAGAGTAGCATAATACCGCAGCATCAACTGAAAGACCATCGGAAACGCTTTCAGACCTCCAAAGGTTTAATCAATAATTCTAAAAAAAATTAATAAATTTCAACTTTTGTGAAATTTATTCGAGCCTTTTGAAATTTCACTTTCCATCTCTGGTTATTCGTAGATATGCGAGTTTAAATTGTTACTGCTACGTATTATTGAAATTTTTGTCAAATTTAGCTTCTTATCGATGTTACGGTGAGCCGCCATCTTGTTTGTTTATTTACGGCCGTAAGAGCACCATGAAGCCTAAAAACTCGTTGACCAATCAAAAAGCGGAACAGTTTTCCTGTAGTAAAAAAATACGAATGGCCATACTCTGTCTATAAAGGTACTCTAAGTTACCCGACCTCACTGTATGCTAAAAATTGTTATTAATTTTTTTTCCTTTACTGACTGAATTTGTCGCATAATTCCTGGACCAGTAGCAGTACTGAGAGAGAGGACTTCGCAGACCCCTAAATTTCGATTTTTGGCGAAATTCTACCTTATAACAAGAATGAAAAGGGTTGAGTTAATCTTAAGCTTTTACACTAGATATATCTTTAAACTACAGTAGATGTAGAATTTTTTCAATCCTCATAGGCTGCTATGAGGTCAAAAATATGTTCGTTGAAATTGGTCAAAGTTTGAAGTTCTCGGGGAAAAATCGGAAAATTTCGGGGAAAATTGGGCCTGAACCATGAAAAAAATTACTTTTAGGGTCTGATGATTATGATGTAAAGTTGAATTCTAAGCATTTTGTAACTCCAGGCATTTTTTCGTTACACGCATTTTTTTTATGTATATTACCATGTTTCTGGGTGCACCTCCCAATGCGGGAATTTCGGTTTTTGTAGAAATTTCACCCTATGACACGAATGGCGAGGGCTGAGTTAATTTCACGCTTTTCGATTGAATATATCTTTAAATTAGATTGTATTTAGAAGTTTTCGCCCATCGGTTGTAATATA